CTGCCCATCCCTTTTAAAAGAAGAAATGGGGGTGAGTATATTCTATGCAGAGGGTCCAATGTGAGCAAAGGCACGGAAGTCGGACGCAATATATCAGCTCCCATTTATTATTCTCCTACCGTGTGGCAGGCATGAGGCTGGCCTGACTGCATGTTTCACTTAGTCCTACACAACCCTGGGAGGTAGCCCTTATGAACCTTGTTTTAAAGGTGAGGAAATGACGTGCAGAGACTTTAAAATGAAACTGTGTGATGTCTCACAGCTCCCCAGTGGCAGAGTCAGGATGAAAATCCAGGTTTAATATATCCACAGAGGAATGTGTACAAGCACGTCCAGATAGCTTTATGAACAACCAAAAACTGGAAACAACCCAAATGTCCCTTAATAAGAATGGTTTGCAATGCAAACAACTCACTTATATGAGAAAAACATACATAACAAAAGCATGGATGAATGTCAAGAAAATATGTTGTGTGAAAGACTAGACCCAGAGTAGGGAATGTATGATTCCATTCGCACGAAGTTCAAGAACAGATCAAAGGAATGTTTCGTGATAGAAATCAGAAAGTGGCTGCCTGAGGAGGCTGGCTGGTAGAAATAGGGTTCCCAGGGGCACTTGTGTTATATGTTCCTCCGTGGTCTGAAGTTTGTACAATGAGCATGCGTTATTTGTAAACCCCAAAGCAATAAAGACACTTTAAAAACAGGATTCTCAGTTTACAACACACATTCAACACAGTCACATTCAGTGGCATGTACTGCACCTAACGATGGCCCCTGGACTTGGGGGAGAGGACACTTCGGTGTAGGACAAGAGCAGAAGATGTGCAGGCAGGGAACTGACCAGCTGTGTGGCCTTGGGAAAACCACCTAGCTTCTCTGAGCCTCACTGTCCTCTTATTAAACAAAGATGTGACAGTAAATGTGAGATGAAATGAAAGGACAGACATGGAGGTTCTGGGCATGTGGTCATCACTGGGTGTCATCTCACACAATCCCTGAACAGCCCCTAGGGTGGGTACCATGAGTATCTCCATTTTACAGAGGAGGAGACTGAGGTTCCTAGAGGTGGACTGAAAATCCAGATCACACTGAGAGTAGTGGGTGGAGTCATGATGCAAATTCTGTTGAGTCCCAGGTCAGAACCCCCAGCCCAGTCCTGCCTGCCCTCCCACTGTCCATCCGCTCCCGGTTTCCAGAGAGAGGCGTCACTGTCTAGACCACGTGACAATCACCTTGTGGCTGATGTACTGTTATCTGTCTCTCTCTCCCACTGGAAGGTCAGCTCCACAAGGGGGGACTTAGTTTCATTCCCTGTTATATTCCAGGAACTAGAAGGGAGCCTGGCATAGAGCAGGTACTACATGACAATTTGTGGAGTGAATTCAGGAAAATATGCAAGAATTGCTTACTAAAGAACCAAAGAAAGTGACCCTGGGGCTCACGGAGGTGAAGGTCAGGGGGCTGAGCAGGACCCGGGCCAGGTCCCTCGCTCGCACTGAGCCCTGCGTCTCCCGAATCCAACAGCCTCAGCTCATCCCCACCCGTGTCCTCAGCCACCCAGGATCACGGGAGTGAATTAGTCCAGTCCAGGGAAGGGTCAGGACAAAAGTGAAGACGGCCCATCCAGTTCTGACTACACTTCTGCCTGCAGTGCTGTTTGTGCCTCAGTTTCTCACTCTAGAGCATGGGCACCTGGTGCTCCAAGGAGAGGATGCGGAGAAGGGCTCAGGAGGAACATGCAGAGGTGGCCTCTGCTGCCTCATTCCTCCCTCAGGGCTGGCTGGGCCGGCTGAGGCCCTTGGGGGTCCAGCCAGTCACACCGAGCCGGGCGGAGGGATGGGCGGTGGTGTGAGAAGCTGCCTCCGAGGAGCCACAGGGCCGGAGCTGGGAGGCACCTCGTTTTTCTGACACCATCGCTGTGGACTGGACAGGAAAGCAGAGGCCCAGAGAAGGGAAGGGATGTGGCTCGGGACGTGCAGGAGTCCACAGCAGGCCCAGGAAGGACAAGAACCTGGGCGCTGCCTCCCAGATCAGGGCCCCCTCCCCTGAGCTCAGGCGGCACCAGGGACAGGCTCCGTCTGCTCCTCGAGGGCGCCGGCCCCGTCACTGTGTCCTGGCCAAGGGGAGCCAAGAGTCCACAGGCAGAGATCGACAGGCAGGCCAGGCAGGGCCCAGCTCTGACCGCAGCCCTGGCCCCCAACACAGGCCCTGTCAGTCACGACACGGCTCCTAAAGCATCTGCTCAAAAGCAGAGGCCTGACCCCTGGACGGCAGGCCCAGGCCTCTGGGTCCTACAGGTGCCACCTACGGTCAGGGCCCCGGCAAGCACCAGGCCCGGCTGGCTTCTCAGGAGCTGATGAGGCCAATAGCAGAGGTGGAGCTGGAGCCAACAGGTGTGGGAGCCTCGGCGTGGGTGCTGATGCCACAGCGACTCTGCTATTAGACTCCACGGTGGTTCAGGGGCCGCTGACCTTCAGGGGCCTGGAGCCAGGGCCTCCAAAGGAGGAAACAATCCTGGTAGGTTCTAATCCCCCACATCAGCCTAGCTAATTACCAGTTAAAACTACTCGAACTGAAGGAGTTTTACTAGTGCAATTAGTACGTGAGAATAAAGAAGGCCCTCAGACAGCTGGCTGGACTGCCCACAGGCCAGGCTTCCACTGAACAAAGATCTGCTTGTTAATCCACAGCGTCAGAGGCCTTAGATCTTCAAGAAACACACAGAGGTGGTGTGGGAAGAAACTGGGATTTGGAATCCACAGCCTGGATGATGCCATGGATGTGCTGTGTGACCCTGGGTTGGTTATTTAACCTCTCTGAGCCCATGAAATGAGGCTGGTAAAACAGCTTCACAAGTTGCTGCATGGGTGAAATGAGTATTTATAGGACTATGGAACTTCAAATGCTAGTTTTTATTCAAAAACAAATAGAAACACCTTTGGCTGACTTTAAAAATCTGTTTCTGGGTTTCACATGTCTATAAGACATGTGGGGACATTTCCATCACATCCACACCAAGGCTGAGCAGCAGCTGGGAGGGTCTGGTATCAGCACTGACCAGGGCCAGGTTCACCCTAAAAAGGGGGCTGACTTTCTGCCCCTCCCCCTCTATCAACCTATCACACAACAACTCTGAGGATGGATCACCAGGAGCCCCATTTTACAAGCAGAGATCTGAGGCTCAGAGAGGGCAAGGGACTTCCCTAAGATCACAGAGCAGAAGCTGGAGGGCAACCAGGGCAGAAGCTGGAGGGCAACCTCCTGAGCTCAGGGTGCTGCTCGACTCACAGCAGCAGCTCCCACCAGGGCTGTGCACCCCTTGCCCCAGGGGATGCTGAGGGAAGAGGGACATGGGCTAGGCGGTGACTCACTCAGATGGACGGCTCCCCTGGAGGCATTCTCAGGGTGACTGCATCCACAGCTCTTCTTGGTCCTGAGCCCGGGGTCAGCTTGCCCCCAGCACGGAGCTCCAGCCCCAGTTCCACATGTGGTCGCCTCTGTCCCAAGTCCCCACCCCTGCCCTCTAACCAGGAAGGTGGCATCTAGAACCCGCCAGCCCAAGTCCTGTGCCTGTCACTGGGCTCTCCGCAGAGGTTAACAGCTGCCACCTGCTGCTCGCTCCCCCACCTGAGCCCATCACAAGCTCTGGTTTGGGGGGGACGGGCCTCATTTAGGCAAATGGCTGAAGACCCACAAAACTTACTGTCACTCTGACCCCTGGGTTCCTCTGCCGAAATCCCTCTGAAAGCTCTCTCCACCTTGAAAGCCTGCCCTCCTGACACAGAAACGTCACCTCCTTGAGCACTGGATGGAGGGCCAAACAACCTGGGCCTGTCCTGGCTTGGCCACATAGAGGCCACATTGTCCTGAGCAAGACACTGCCTCTCTGAGCCTCCCTGTCCTCATCTGGGAGATGGGGATGAATATCATGTCGCTAACAGGGTTGTTGGGAGGGTTAAGAGCGGTGCTGTACGTGAAGGGAGGCTGGTGACCATGGCAAGGGTCCTCTCCCTGCTCTGGGTCCCACAGCTCTCCCCACCTGGGGCTGAGCTGTAGTCCTTGGGTCCCCAGGTCCATCCTAGTGTCTGCCTCAGCCCAGACTCCTGCCCCTCACTGGCCACAGACAGGAGGCAAAGCAGGTGGGTGACATATGTTCATGAATGTAGATTAAAGAGAGTTTAGTAATGGAAAACGTTATCTTTGAGAACTTTAAGGGTAAATGGCTCCACGATTTGGAGTATAATTTCTGCAGAGAGGAAAAGCTGGGCTTTACGTGGGAGAACAAAGAGGGTCCAAGCTGCCCATCAGGTCATTCAATGGCCTGGACACTCATTCCATGACAAGCCAAGTCCCGGGTGTGAGCCCAGGGTGACAAGACCACAGTCCCTGCCCCGCTGAGCTCAGAGTCTACTCCTTCCCCACCGTCCCACCCCGCAGCAGCACCCCACCCCTAGGTGGCCCAGGGAAGAGGCTGCTGTGGACTCAGAACATCTGGGTCCTCATCTCTACTCTGGTGCTTTGATGATGTGACCAGGGTTTTCCACGCTGAACTTTGTCCCTCTCTTCAGTACCGCCCTTATCAACGGGACAGCATCACAGCCTCTGTTTACTCATCTGCCTCCCTTCCCAGGACCAGACTGTCTTCCTGGCACTGCCCGCGTCCACCCGACACTACATGAATCTTACCATCGGGTGTGTTTGGCCGCGGGTGAATGTACGCCTCTGGGACTCACATCCCTCATCTGTCCCTGCTGGATAAGCAGCTCACCAACCCCCACCTCCCTGAGACTTCGCTGCCCTGACCCGGGTGGTTTACCCTCCTGCGGTACCTTGTCCACGACAAGGTGATTCCCCGTTCCCAGCAGGGCGCTCGCCCTGCCCGAGGTGGCGCACACGCCCCTGCAGCCCGCGCTCAGCCTCCGAGGGGCCCCTCGGCCAGCCGTCCCCCACGCGCCTTCTCGCGGGGTCGCCGCCGCCCACCCCGGGCCCGCTCTCACCCATGTTGACGAAGCTCATGACCAGGTCGGCGCGGCCCAGGCGCCGCTCGGGGGTCCCGCCGTCCTCCTCGTCGTCGCCGGCCATGGCGCGATACATGTCCAGCATGAAGAGCGGCGCGGACGCGGGCAGCCGGGCGGCGGCGGGCGGCGCGCGGGGCCGGGGCCGCCCGGGCAGCCGGAGCACCGCCAGGATCTCGCGCTGCAGATCGCGGCGCTCGCGCGGGCCCAGGCGCCGTTGCGGGCAGCCGGGCGAGGGGCGCGGGCCAGAGGCGCCGCCGCCGCTCAGCGCGCACAGCGCCAGGCCCAGCAGCCAGAGCGGCCCGGGGCGCGCGGCCATGGCGGGACCCGGGCGGCCTCACCGCGCGCGCATCCGCTCCCGGCCGGGCCCGGGGCTGGGGCCGCCCCGACGGCGAGCGGCGGGCCGGGCTTGGGGCCGGCGGGACGGGGCGGGCGTCGCCCGCGAACGCAGCGCGGTCCCTAGAGCGCCCGGCCCGCGGCGCCTGTCGTGGCTCCGGGTAGTCGGATGGGGCCGCACCTCCTCGGGCAAGGGCTCCTCCGGGGACCGGGGACCGTCGGCTAGTCTGTCTGTGCCGCCGCGCCAGACAGTCCAGCTGCTGCCGAGGCAGCTCAGCTCAGAGGCGGAGAGCGAGCTCCCGCCGGGCTCCGGGAGGCGCGGACCCTCAGTCTGTGCCGCACGCCCCGGGTCGAGGTGGCCTCTCTCAGTCCAACTTGCAGCCGTCGGGTCCCGCCCCCTCCGGACCCGACCAATGGGGGCACAGCGGCGGGACCAAGGACGCGGAACAGACGCCCCAGGAAGGGGCTCTGGATGCCAGGTGTTGGCGACCTGAGATGCGACCCGCTGGTAGGTGGTCGGCGAGGAATCCCTAGCCCAGCCGTCGGGGGCCTCGAGGTCGTCCTGGGCTCCCCTCCCGCCGCTGGCCGCGCTGTCGGGCGGGCGCGGGGACTCGGCCTGGGGACCCAGGGTAGCGGAGCGGTTCGGGGAGATCGGACCTTGCCCTCCCGCGGGGCGTGTCCTTGGTCATCCTGCCCGGGTGGCATCCCAACTCTCGGTCCGGCCCGAGGACTGACCCCGCAGCCCCTCCTGGTGCACGAGTGTCGCTCCAGGACCGGAAATGCCTCAGTCGGGTCTAGAGGTAGAGGGGCCCCGCGGGTGACAGGCAGGCCCGAGAGTGGGGCGCATCCCTCTGCTAGCAGCCGGGCCCGGGTTCCCAGCCACCGCAGCTCCTCGCCGGCCTCTTGGTGCCTTCTCCGCAGTCCCCTTGCGTGCACCTTTGGGAGCTCTTTCCCGGACACCTGACGCCGGCTCCGTCACTGCTCCTGGCGCGCCCACCCGCCTGGTTTCCGCGCGCTCCCGGCTGGCGCCTCCGGCGGGCCGCCCCGGCAGCTCCAGCAGCCGCACTGCCACCGCTAGGTCTGGCTGGGCGCCCTTCGGATCCCGGTGCGCGCTGGATACGCGCACCCGCTTCCCGCCTCCCGCCGGTCAAGGAGCTGTGGTGCCCTTCCTGAACCTTTGCGCATCTGAATTGTCACGGCCCTCAGCGGCTTGCGAGAGAAGGCTCCTCACGGAAACTCCTCCATTGACTAGCCCCGATCTGCACACCCTACTCTTCAGGCGCCTTCTCACCGCATTTATTCGTTTATGGTTAAGGCGCCGCGCTGAGAGGAAGAGACACTTAGACTGAGCTCTGAAGGCCGGAAGGAATTGGTTGGGTTGAAGGAAAGGTCAGTGGGAGGAGAATGTTCCAGGCAGAGGAAATAGCTTGTGCGAAGGCCGAGACTCCAAGAAGCATAACAGTGGCAGGTGACAGTGAGCACTGTCCATGTGCCAGCCGTGTTCTGTACCATTTCTTCGTGCTCACACGTTGTCATAGGGTAGATACCTAACCGCCCCTCCCCCACCTCATTTAACAGACGAGGAGACTGAGGCACACAAGGGTTAAGGGACTTCCCTCAGGTCACACAACACTGGAGCTGGGCTGCAGCAGGTGGGCACATGCAGGTGAGCTGTTCAGTGGAGGCTGGAGAGCCTGCGGGGCAAATGGCCAGGTGAGGGGCTCTGGACAGCAGATGGTTATGGCGTCCCAACGTGGGTTCAAGATTCAACTTCAAAATAAAGGTATGATGTCCAGTAAAATTCACATTTCCCCAAGATCACTTCAAACTTAAAAAATATCAAATCTTAAATCCAGTCATTTGCTGGTGACTTAAGTCCATGCCTAGTCTTCCTTCTACTCAACAGGTAAAACTCCACCAGGCTGCTGAAGCTGGATGAGAATGCTACAGATGAGCCAGTGAAAGTTCTCAAGAAAAGACCAGAGCCTGGATGCAGAGGGGACTATGGATTGGAGGGAGGGAGATTGGAGTCAGGGCCCACAGCTGGAGACAGGTACAGTAATGGGAGGGGTCAGGGGATGTTGACAATGATCCTCTAATGGAGAATCATTAGAGGAATGGAGGGCAGAGAAGGCTCTTAGGAGGGCAAGTCCACAGGGCTTGATGACTGCATGCAGAGGCAGGGGGCAGAGTCAAGGGGGTGTTCCCTTGTCAGAGATGGTCAGGGTCTCTGAATTTCCTGCCCCCTTCACTATCCCTGGGCATCCTTCTGCATTCCCCTGAGTCCATATATCACTGGAGGTCTCAGATCTAGCCTGTAATTCTCCAGTTGTGTATCGTAAACTGCTGGCCTCCCAGCAAGACTGCAAGCAGCCCAGTGCTGGTCTGATTCATAGAAGTCATTTATCTCAATTTAGGATGAGTGAAGATGGCTGTGCTCTTTAAACAATGGCTTCACATTCCCATAAACCAGTGGTGCTGCTCCGTGCTGTGGCCTGAGCCAGAGATGAAGCTGACCAGCTCCCTGCCCTCTAGTGGCTCCCAAGGGTCACCCCAGGGGTGACAGGTGAACATGCAGTCTTTTTGAAGGCAAAACAGAGGTTGTGCTCTGACAGAGGGGCCGGCAAATTGCCTGGATGGGCAGAGGAAGTGGGGACAGGCGATCTGTGAGTGGAATCCTGGAACTCCTCAACTGGATGGGAAATGACATGGGGAGGGTGTCTTGGAGAAAGTTCTGTCAAACAAGGGCTTCCCCAGCCACCTGGCAACTCTGTGACCTTGGGCAAGTTACTGAACCTCTCTCAGGCTGTCTCTCATCTGTCAGTAAGGCTCACGATTGTAGGACTGCGATGGGAATTACATGAGAATGTACACAGAGCACTTAGCACAGTGACTGGCACACGGGAAGCACTCAATACATGTTAGCTATGGTTATTCAAAGCCCCAGAACCTGCCCCCCTCTATCCTAGCAGACACCAAGTTTGCATTACTTATTTAGCACTTGTATCACAGAACTGCAGTTTTAACCCCTTTCCCGCCATCCCTGTATTTCCCACACGGTCTTGCACACAGGTGTTCACTGAATGGAAACACACTTCCTGCAGATTGCACCACGAGCTGAGCTTTGTTGCAGAGACTGAGGGAAAACCTGAATTACTTGGTAAGAAAAACAAGTGACCACGGTCCAGACTTTGAGAAGATGGAGGTCAAGCTCCTTTCAGCATGCTTCTGCAGCCAGAAGGCCGAGAGGGGGAAGCAGATTTGGGTGGAAACGCCACCCTACAAAGTTCTGGCAGCCTGAAGTTATCCAATTCCATGGAGAATACAGTAAGCACTTCCTTCAGAATCCATCAGGCTGCACATTCCTTCTAATCTGGGTATTTGGCTTCCAACAGCTTTGGCAAACACGTGTCCATCTTACCAAACTCCCCTATCACAAGGGGAGTATGGCCTAATGATGAAGAACACAGGTGGCTGATGTTCAACCCCTCTTATCTCTCAAGTTCCCTAGTTATTTCTTAGTCTAATTCCTGTCATCAGAATTAGTTAATATTTGGCCATTCTAAATATTATAAAGCCAACCAGGGACTGGAGGGAAGAGAACTGCCTGACTTGGACAGGGAGCCGAGGACTAGATTCAAGGTCCTCTTCTGCCATTTATTCATTATGTGATCTCAGGCAGATGACTCTCTCACCCACTTTCCCATTCGTTTCTCCTTCTGTAAAACAAGGGAGGTAAGATTTGATGACCAATTTTGTTTCTACCTCTGAAATTCTACCACTTAACCAGAAATAACAGCATACTGTGAGAAACTGGCCCCATTCTCTCAAAACCCAGGATGTGTGATTTCTAAAACAAATATCTTCTTACATACTGGTTATTTGTTTAATCACGTAAGTGGGCCAGATAGCCCTACAGATTTACATAACAACAGTCTGATCCTTTGTTCCCTTGTTAAATAAAATTAATGAGGATAAAATATATAAGAAGAAATCTATTAATGAGCTCCATAATTTATCCATCAAGATATCTGGATTTGAATAATGCACCGAAGTACCTAAAAGAGTAATGTTATACATAAGGTAATGGTTCAGAAGTAAAGCAGGAAATACAAAATATTTGTTACTGCAAGCAATTTTAATACAAAAGTGTGTCTTGTTTTTAAACAGTTCATTGGTAGAGCTTCAGTTTCTGCCTCAATTAAAATCAATTGAGATAATCACACAGCAACGTGGTCGGAGCTGAAGAGGAACAGCAGCTAAAAACCAGGAGCCCCAGACAGCCCCTCTTCGTGATCACTTGGGCAGCTAACTTTATTACGCACAAAAGAAAAGACGGAAGAAGCAAACGGGACTTCTTAACAAGTGTGCTGGTGAACTCCTTTAAAGGACGAGCGAGTGTTTTATGTCCACATTTTCAGAATAGGCTTGTGGAATTCATTCCTCAGTTTGTGGGAAGTTGATCGACCATTTTAAATAAATAGCAAAAAATGCAGATAAACAAATCTGTAATTCATGATGCCACCAAGGAGTCTCCCCTTGCCGACGGCCTGGGTCCCGGTGAGCACAGGAGTTATTGGTGGCTGGGCTGGATAGGAAGTTATAAACCAGGACTCTTAAAAACCCCGATGTTCTCACGTTTTCTGAACAGTTATATTTACCCCTGAATTCTAGCAGCTATTTGTCCTTTAAACACCTAGTACTGAAACAGTATTCAAAGACAGTATTGCAATGAACTCCTTTTGCTGTATCATGTGCAAACATTACCTAGATGAGGTTCCCTCTCTTCAGCTAAAATTACACAATATTAAAAACAATGGAAAAAGCAGTCAGAAGTGCCCTCCCCTCAGTTCTTGCTAATTGAGGTGGCCATGATTTACAAAAAAGAGTTCCTTAAACACTGAAGGATTCTTATTTTTTTTTTAATATAATTTATCTTGCTGAGACAGCAAGTCAAGTTTATAAAGAAGATGCATTTAGGAATAA